CATGCAATTTCAGCTGCAAAATCTACAGCATCCGGTCCCACATGTAATTGGAAAAAGTTCACAAAGAACTCAAGATGTCTAATTGCAGCTGTGTCAACTAACATAAAACACCACATAAATCAGATTTCTGTCTATTCATTAGCCAATGTGTCAGCGAGCAGATTAGTGATGTTGTAGGAACAGTCTGGCGAGTCTTGAGAATTACGACTTCCTCATTAATTGTAGTTTTGCTTCGAATATGTGCGGCAAAAAAGTGTTACAAGAAAGGACAAGCACTGATCTCATTCGCGCAAAACAGAGCTGAATGGAGATCAATATGTTCCCTTGGAGCATGAGAATCTTCTGCTGGTAATTATGGGAGGACATAAATGAACCACATTTTACAAAATCACTAAAACAAAAGAGCCAGATGAAACACAATGCCTGTGCGTGCATTCAAGTCTCAACAAATTTCCAAGTGGTCAAGCCAGATGATGTATAATGGCAAACCCAAAAGTCTTAACCCCCATTTCAAATGAGGGAGAAATGAGGCATACTGTCCCATTATATTGCTATAAATCATTTTTTGCGGACGGCTGACAGCTTTTTATCAGATCTAACCTTTTCAAGCCTCCATTAAGAGTGCTAACATTTTCAACTCTGACACATGTACAGTTTACGAATCTCACAGCTGATTTACTTTGGGTGGGGGGCACGCTGGCATTCATGCTCACTTCCACAGAGGCTGTCCATTGTGTTGGGGTTGGGGGTGGAATGGGGGAGGGAAAATGGGGAACAGTGAAGAGAACGGACTCCGAATCCACGTATTTGACTATACATTTACCCTTTTAATTTGCTATACAGCGCTGAGTAGCTTTGAGGCTTAAAAGCTATTTTGTGGTAAACAGCATATTCTGATTCACTCTATTGATTCTTTTATGATACACAACTGCTGCATGAAGGGCCATTAAGGGCCACACAGATCCCTCATAACCTGACAAAATAATAATGAGTGGACTTGTTTAGAGAGGAGGATGCAAAAGACAAGCATCTCGTCGGTTAAGCAGGAAACCTTTTATCTATTTTCGTCGAAGTTTTGCTTTGTGACTGCTTTGCTGTGAAAGCCTGTAGTGTTAATGTGTTGACTGATTTTTTACAGGATTCTGTCTGCGAGCTACCACACACAGTCACACAGAGGACCTATATTTGATCCACAGATCCATCTATTTATCCATCCAAGTATTAAAACTTCTTTGGTGTCCTTTGCCCTCCATTTCAGACACGCAGCCTTTACAAGGGACTCCACAGCAACACATTCAGTAACTAAACCTGACAGGGTTCACTACAGTAACATGGCCCAGCTGTGCAATAAACATGGACAAAAACCCAAATCTCAATTTCTACAGAATTTCTGCGAATCCATCACAATAACTCAAGTGCACAAATATTGAAGGAGTCAGCATATATTTGTCATTATCTGGACAGATTCCTGCATGTGTGTGATAAGCTAAACTAATCAGACAAATAAAAGGCAGAACTTTAGCTGCTGCAGCTGCTGGAGAGTTATGGGAGGAACTTTGCCAACCATAATTGATTTAAGTACACCATAATCAAGAAAGGGGCAGTTAAGGTGGTACCACACAAAGGTCCATATTTCATTACATGCTGTGTTTAACCTTACCCACTTCTCCTAAAACACACAAGAGGCTCATTATGTGTTTAATATTCACCAGCAGGTGAATAATTTTTATGCAACTCTGATAGTTGGGCGAGATGGATAACTCAATTATCTGAACATCCGTCAGAGCAGAGGGCTCGCTGGCTCTGGAACGCCACCAGCTAAGATTGATGGCTGGAAGACACCAATAGCTGCTGCTTCGCCATCTCATCCAGGCACTGGGCCTGAACACTGCGTTTGATTCTGCAGAAGACCGTTTTTCTCTCCTTTTTTTTTTTTTGTCCCTTTTCTCTTTTTTCTTGGGAGCATTGTAGGTGAAGCGTCATTACCCCTCACTCCACTGAAGAGGGGTTCATTATGGGGTTAGTGTGTTGGCAAGACTATTGTTTGGATGATGAATGCTGTTGGTGAGAGCTTTGGAGAGAAAATTAGTTATGTTTTTTTTTTTTTTCCTCCATTCTACAAAAACATGTCCCCATAGCTCACTCTGCAATGCTTGAGGGCAAAGCAAGAACAATTAACACAAGCAATGGGTGAAGCAGTTCAGTTAAAGCAAAGAGGGAATTCATGAAAAATAAGCAAATCACTGGAAATGTCAATCAGGGGCAATGAAGTAATTACAAACACAGCCGCGCAATTCCAAGGGCAGTCAAAAAGAAAACTGAAAGGTTTAGAGTGAAGCACTGTAATCTGAGTTTGAGGAATGGACAAACACCCTAAACATCAGCCCTTCAGGGCCTGTCTCATAAACTGAAACCAACTAATGAGAAGTGAAAGCAGGATGATGTCACCCCATCACTCTCCTGTCCCCCGTTTCTCTACGAGTTTATGTTTTTGTGACCACAAAGTGCTGACCCCGAATTCACCGCCTTCACTTTGCAAACACACACAAATATGCACATGTGCGCACACCCTTTGTACATCAGACGATAACGCATTAGGTCTAACAATAAGAGAAAGACGAAGCACATTTGGAAATGTCAGCAGTAAATGTCAATTAAAAATTACAAGGGTGCTGGAAAAGGTAGGGTCTGAAGGGACTGACATTTTTTCTTTTTTGACATGACAATGTTTATCTGACCGGGCTGCTGGCTGACATGATGGGATCTACTTTGTCAGCTCCTTAATACACTCAGACAAGGCCGCCCGGTGAATATCAATGAAAGACACCCAAGAGCAGATATGTAAGGCTCAAAGTAACCCTAACCGTCCAATCAAGCCGTTAGTATTCTGGTATTTTGACCTACTGTAAACTAATGCCAGGAGTAACAAAGAGTACCAAAGACAGATTCATGCCATTTTCTTCAGTCTAAACCAAAAAAGCACATTGACTTATACAGTGAAATATTCAAGGAGACATCTGATCTTTAAGTACTATTTCATTAGCCATGGTCTAGGACTATTCTGGAGCTTAAACAAAGCCTTTTTTTTCATTCACCAACTTTCTTAGAGGAATTTAATGAGGCCTAAAAAATGGTAACCATCAGACTGGCCCTTTTTACATTCACACCTCAGCGACTTTTAGTTCCTGATGTCATTAATGGTTATCAAAAAAAAAAAAAAAAAAAAAAAAAAGACAGTGATTTTCCTTCTGGAAACAGACCATTTCCAAATAAAGCTACGTTACTCTGAGAAAATAAAACACACCATTGATTATGACCTTGACCTCATCTCAAGCATTTTAACTACTCACTGATATTGGATGAATCATTTTCCCTGAAAAATCAAACAATTGTTCTGCCTGCAGCTTCTGGGTGAAATCAGTAGGTCAGTCCTCTATAGGCAGAGATAACATCTCCTGAACACTGAACCATTATAGGTGTAGGTTTAGGTGTAGGTGTGTTATGTTTTTTTGTTTAATTTTTTTTGGCGTATATCACACTACACCCATCCACACCTGACTAACATTTTTATTTTATTTTAGTTAACTACTTTATTTATGTTTCTTACTCTGGGCCAGTTTGTGACGACTGTAGGCTATAATTACAAGAGAATAAATAGAACAACCTATTTTAAATGGAAACAGGTGATCTATAATGGGAAAAATCTGGTGTAGATAAATCATTTGCTATCTTATCAGTGATAGGCAGACAATAGAAGGATTATTTTAGGTTGGGGAACTACGCATGCAAAACCACACATGAAAATGATTTCATAGTAAACAGCTTCTCTTTCTGTGTCATGGTCTCGATAGATCCAGAAATCTGATCCTGATCTGGTGCTGTAAATGCTCCAGCAAAACAAAAACAGAGACAGAGAAAGAGAGTGTCCGGCTGTGCCTGAGGTCTGGAACCTCCAGCACCGTGTCACAACATGTCAGCTGGCCGTCATGGCTGACGGGGGGCCGGGGCCACAGCGAGGCAAACGGAGGCGGTGGGGGGCGACTTTTTCGACTTGGTGACTGGAACCTTGCGGCGTGGGAGGCAGTGAACGTGAAGACCATGTGTGACCGACCCTTACTCTTCTCAGTTTGTGCCCCAACACAAAAGTCGCTCTACCTGATTCAGTGTGAAATGAAGCCTTTATAACACTGAGTACTGAGCTTGGATAATGGCTGATGACACTTCGTATCACAGTTTTTGCTGACATTAAACAGTGAAAGTCTGTCCTATCCAATATATTGATTGGCTGGGACACTATATGACATTTGTAGCTTTTAAACTATATATTAGCACATTAATTACTATATAAAATGGGGGACAAACTTATAACCCGCATGTAAGCCTTATGTTTTGGCAGTGGGATGAGAAACAAAATAAGTCGGTTCTCTGTGTTCTCTCAAGAGATCATGAAATAAGTATGTATGTTGTGCATCTGATTCATTTCTAGCACTGAGACGCACACATCCATATGCAGGCGCATACACACACTTCTGTTCCCCCAGGGTCAGACCATGAGGGCCTGTTCCTGTCCAGAGGTTCTCATGACAACAGATGCAATGGATTAATCACCCATTTCCCAGCTTTCCTTCGAAAACAATATGTGTACTCTGGAAAACAATCAAGCTCACAGGCAGGCCATTCAGGCTCTAAAGGGCTCCAGTGACAGGGGTGGATGTGGAAGTAGTCTGATGTGCACATGTACCATATGGAAGTCTGGGGTTAGTGTGGCCTATGCCAGGGAGGAAGTGGTTAGCGTTGTAAGACAGATATGAGCTGCATTCATATTACTGAGAAAAGCTGATTGTGGTTTGTGGTCAAAAGGGAGAAGTTATAAACAATACGCAGGCTGGGAAAATCGTAGTTGCAACATTAGATCGTCAATTCAGATAAAGCAAATGAAACCGAATGCAAACAATACAAAAGAGTTGAGAGGACAAAAAAAAAAAAAGAAGTAGACTCACCTGTTCCAGTAGCTCCAGAACTGCTCATTGAGATAGGTGCGATGACTGTGGTCGTCTCCGAATGAGGCTTTGCTCTCAATCCAGTGTACAATGTGTCCCTCCACGGCTTTTCATAAACAGAAACACACAGCGACACTGAGAAAACTGGTGACACAAAAGCCACACAAGCAAGATCCAGAGGAGCCAATGACATTTTGGTTTTTTTTTTTTGGTTTTTCTCTCTCCTGTCAATAACAAAAAATTAAAGATCTGGAATTTAAATTACAACGTTTTGACAATTGCAAGATGCTTTATGAGAAAAAGGCACCTAGGTTTAGGAAGCAGTTATTTCAGATAAAATAATGACATTTATGATACAAATACTAACCAATTGGAACCTCCAGGATGATATCAGGTGTTTTGTCATAGCCCATTGCTCTCAGTTGGTTTTCATCTACAGGAGATAAAGGGCAGAATTTTTAACATTTGACTGTTTGAAATAAGTTTTACTCTTCGCTGAACAAGTTCTATTCGGCAATCAGCCGGGTGTATGATCATCAATCACAGGCTACTGACCTAACCACATTCACCAAGGTGCTGGTAACAAAACCCCCCTTCAATGGTAGCAAAGCTGACAAAATAACAGTAGAGGACAGCAAGCACAGTAAAACCATTAACTACATCTGCCACATATTCGCTTTCGTTGCACAAAAAAATCGTAAAGCCCAGTTACAGAGCTGCTCTCCGGTTTGCAGTTTGGCAGCGCTTTATAAAATATACAGCAAGAGGACAAGGTTGGCATTATAGCCTCTGTAAGCCTGACCTCTGCCTGCAAACGCTGCAGCCATTGTCCTTGACTCCTGGCGTGCTTCGGCCATTATCCCTACAACACCTGATTTCTCCATTAAATCTCAGGCTGACCAGGTCATTCAGTTCCAAAGGCCTGCCTCTTTGTCTCCAGCCAAGCTCAACTAATGGGGCATGGAAGGGAATTGAGGAGAGATGGAGGGTGGCGGTGTCAGTGATGGTGAGGAGGTAGCATCAGCCAAGGATGGAGAAAGAGAGCCGAGTGAGGTCAGTGAGGCTGCCAGGGGCCTGCAGAGGGGCATCCTGGGTGGGGTAATGTGGGTGTACATGTGTGTGTGTTAGGACGGGGACCTCTATTCTCTCCTACTGGGCTGTTGACATTGTCATGTGGCTCTGATCGCCTTTTTACATCACCTTTGATTAAAATTAATGGGCCATCCCCGCTGTTGGGTAGCTTATTTCCAATCCATTTATCAGATGGGGGGAAGCTGCCTCAGTGGCCCTTGTGCCCCCCGAACTCTGACAGTTTTAGAACAGTCCTCTGTACAGCCCTGAAGAAAGGTCAGCACTCGGGGTCCAAATAAATGATATGGTCTTAATGACAGAGGGAATGACTTTTATCCTTCATCAGTCATCTGACCTAGGGGATGGTGATGGGATGGTGATGATGGGATAAATGGGGTCTTGTTGGAACAAGCCAATGTTGTTTGGAAAATATACTACAAAAGATTACAAAAATAAAACTGATTCAAATACTAGAAATCGCCACCCTGTTGTGAGTTTCTCAACATGTAATATCGGCAAAACCTATTGCAAATTAGGAATCCCCTTAATGGCATTATCGTATCATTTGTGTTCATGTTAACAGAAACAAGCCTATTTCATCCATTTTTGAAAATAAATAAATTACTCAGCAGTAACCTGAGATGACAAAGCATTCCGACTAATGAAACATTAAGGGCTACCTTTGAAGCTTTTATTCTTTAAATATTCATTGTAGGCTGGTGCATAAACATCCAAGGATATTTGATAACAGCTCCTGGGTCCAAATCAATAAGAGATAACATCCACTGCATCAGTCAAGTCCAGGTCTTCCTTTACTGAGCTTACACAAAAGGCAACACTGCCATGGCCAAAGTGACTTGAAACATGCGATGAGAAGGTCAAGAATTGGCTTACCCAGAAAGGAAAGGTTCCTCTCCTTCAGTTTGTCACAGAGTAGCACCTCATGCTCTTGGCCAATAGTGCTGAGAATAGAGTCAAGGATTCCACATGTACAGTAGAGAAACAGCAGTATTTTCTAGTGGTGAGTAGTTATACAACAATTTGTTTAAAACTATTCAAGAAAATAAAGTGCGTCTGTATCTGAAACATAAGGTAAGATACATAAGAATAATTGTTATGCATCTTATCTTATGTTTCAAAAAGTTAATTTTATGCAGTTCTTCAAACAAGTTGATAGACATTCATAATAGGCTGAAACATTCCCACTACACTGGCAGATGTTTTTCTCTTTTTTTTTTTTAAAGAAAATAATGGGTTTTTTTTTTCTCTGAACAAATGATCATGGTCTCAGAAGCAGTTATGACTTGTGTGGATCACAATCTGCAAAATAACTAGTACCTATAGCTTTCAGGTAAATGTATAAGGTGACAACATAAATGCACAAATATGAGGTGATGCAAGCTCAACTGTGCTTGTGTATGCCAATATCAGATCAAGTTAAGAATCTGCCTTTCTCCTCTATTGGCTTACTATGCAAAGTGAAAGCCACTTCTCTTCATGTCGATGTATAGCGAGAGCACAGTCAGACTTTTCAGGTCGACCTTAATCTGCTTTCACAAGAAATCTCCAAAGTGCATTACGTAAATGAGGAAGACGAAACAAATGCCAATTTGGCAAAATGCTTAGAGTGCCCGGACTAGCTGCTCCACTCATTCCTCTAAGATCTTTGAAGAAAAATGCTTTTATAGAATAGATGCCATTTTGCATCAGGATGCATGATGCTTGATGCCACAGAAAGAGTGGGTATCATATATGCATAACTTGCCTACTCAAAGAGATCAAGAGAAAAGTTCTAAGGGTATTGTACTTCCCAACAAACACTAATCACTCAAAATGGCTTCTAATAAATGCATCTCCTGACTGATACACATGCATTAAGAGCTACCCCTCTTATGTGTGGATGGAGCTCTTTGAAAGCAGATAGTAGTGGGGCAGTTCCCATGAACTCTGTGTAGCGGAGTGACTGACTCTAAGTTGACAATGACGAGGACGGTCAAAGAAAGGTAAAAGGGGGAGGTGGAGGGAGGGCAGGATGGGACAGGGTTCACTGGCTATGAAGAGAACAACCAAGCCCCACCACACACCAAATTCTGGACAGACACAGTACCATACAGACATACACGTGTAGACTCATTCAAATAAGTCTCCTCCCCCAGGAAATAGTTGGTCTGCTAACCAGCTGCTTGCCCCTAAATAGCCTGGACTCCAATTCTGCCCCTATAGTCAAGGCTATAGAGAGGGTATTTGAAGCTGGGAAAAGAAAGGGAGGAGGAAACACCGGGAACTAAAGCAGTACAATTGCATAATGAATAAATAAAATAAAACCAATGTGCAATCAAAATTAATAATTAAAGTTGGACTGATGAACTCTCCGTGGTGCTGAACAGCAGGAGAATTATCAGAACAAAATACAGTAATGAACATAAAATTTCAAATCATCTGGGCTAAATAAAACACCAAACAAAAGAAGAATAGATCAACCACCATGAGGCTTATGAATGCTAATTTTTTTTGTATCATAGAACATTGGGTCTGATCCACTGCATGCACATGGAGATGCATTTAGATCAGTCTATCCTCTCCTCCTCCTCTTTCCTCCATCACCTTCCAGCCCCTGTATCGGTGATAGTGGGATGGCAGGCAGAATGAAACACTTCCTCTGTGAAGCAGAACTTTTATGTCAGGTGAAGCCAGACACATCTCATCCCCTTCAATAGCTCCTCGTCAATTTCAGGCTTAAAATTTTATGGGATAGGATACTGTTTGATGCAGTCTACCAGCGGTCCATAACAGCAGTCATTTATTGTGCACTGAAAAAGAGGGGGAAGAAATATTATGGTGTGCGAAAAGGGTGGGTGGGTTGGAGGGGGAGTGGGCGGTGGCGGCGTGGGGGTGGGGGGTGCGAGGGGAAGGGAAGGAAGCCCATGCAGTGCTGGGAAAGGAGAAAACACAGGAGATGCTGGCAGATTGGCAGGCATGACCGCCGGCTCTCACGTGACCTCATCAGCAAACATGAGCGGCTGATGCTGTCTGTCAGCCAGGTGCTACATTTAAAAACTCACTGTACATAAGCAGCAGATTTGTTACATGGAAAAGGGTAGGGCTACAAACTTTATAAAATTACCTAAATTTCAAATTAAAACGTACATGTCATTCCATGAAGGCAAACAATTTAAGTGATTTCCTATACTGGTTAAAATTTAAAACACTTACTTGGTAGATGTTATTGGCCAAAATCTGGTCTGGAATCAGCGATGGCTCCTTAAGCATGCTGTTGACGACTGTTTTAGAGGCTGACAAGAAAGACAAGAAAAGGAGAGAAACAAATACTATTAGGCAAACACACATGAGAGTTTGTCTAATGTCCTACAAATTTAAAAGGCAAAATTCTAATTGCTGCAAAAGCAAACAATTAAAATATAGAGACACAAGACAGGTATGACAGGCTATAATTCACCACGCCACTGTTAGTGCAGTATTTTCACACTAGTCCATTAGATGGCTGCTTGGTGTCTACACAGATTTTCTATAGATAAATGTTTCAGTCCAGAGCACAGGAGCCCCATGTAGTTTATCTATGTTATGAACGCTGACTATTCTGCATCTCTCATCCCCATTCTTGCTCTACTAACATTATAAATCAGAAAAGGAAAGCCTGCTGGATTGATTCGCTGCTACTGCAACAGCAAAAAAATTCCTTAAATCATTTCTTAAAAAGATCGGGATTAAATGGATTGTATCATTGTGTGACGAAATGGTTGAGGCACGCCATTTTAGTGATATATATACACATGGTCCTGACAGACTTGCAGGCAATACAGACAATACAAGGAATGTTTCTATTCACATCTCAGGCATGGATGGTGCCTGTACCAACACTGCACCGAGATTCCCAAACTCATCTAGAAAGCTATGCACAGTATATAGCTATTAAACACAAGACAGCTTTATTTGGAGATTTATAAAAATGTGAGTTAAAAACCGCAAATGAAAAAGGATCAATTTAAAAAGGACTTGGGTGTACACTTACAGACGCTAACTGGATCATTAGGCGTCTATTAAATTAATTTCATTAATACGGCGGCGTTTAGAAGAACATTTAAAAACCCTGAAGTTCTGTTCTGTTCTGCCTTGCCCTTTGCATCTCTTTCATAGGCATTACTCCTTATCACAGAGAGGACAAATAGTGCTGCGATCCCTCATCGACCTTATGATGAGGGTGGAAGAAGAACAAAGCACATTCAGCGCTCCCTCCTTTCTTTCTGTTTCTTCTTCTTTGTCTCCATCTTTCTCTGCCACCTCTTTTTTTTTTTTTTTTTTTTTGCTACCTCCTTTCTGTTCCAGCCTCTCCCAGCTACGGTACTCCCCCAGCCCACCCCATAACCCAGCACTCCCTCTTAGAGCTGCAAGGCACAGGGCTGTGCTTTATTTCTTTGCTCATTTTTCTCAGAGATTGGTACCTTCACACGCAGATCCATACCATGCTCCTGTGCGGTGCAGGCGGCGGTGAAGAAAGAGGGTTATATTTTCCCCTTGAGTTAGGACACCTCATGACAAATGATAATGGATAATCAATAAAGCGGGAAATATGAGGCAGCAAACTTTATGAAGCCAGGAGACATATTACTCCCCAACAACACTGGTTTCCCTTAACAAAGTCACTACTCGACTGTGCCTAATAATCTGAAGGAAAATCAAAGGACCTGCAACCACATCAGCAATATTGGCAACTTATTCCACTTTAATGGCATTTTGATTGATTTTTTCCCTCTTCCTAATGGTCGTTTTATAGATTTGACGCTGCTTCTGCAAAACAGTAGTGTGTAATAAACCTCCCCGAAGGCAAACGGCAGCCATTAAAGCTCTTGTCTTACTAGTGCTCATAATTGGAGGTTGACCACCAACACATTTTGGTCTCTCACATAACACACACAAACACAGACTTCCAGGACTAGACTTCTCTCTCTCTCCATGCCTCTCAAGCCCTTTGATATTTTTGGTAGATGGCCATAATAAGTGACAGGATCCCTTTCTCCTGCTCTTTTTGAGCAATGGGGTTAAAAATAGCCATAAAAAGGTGACCTTGGCGCTGACATTGTGGAATTTCAGCCAAGCATTGACCTGATGAAAATGGAGGGCCAGTCCGCTAATAAATCAGGATGCTTTTAAAATGAGTTTACCCTAATGCTCATTCATCACTGGCTGTAATGCCATTTGCAGGCCCAGGATTCGCTGCTGTGCACAAACACAGCAGTAAATAACAACAGGGCCCTAGCATCCCTCGCATCGTTGCAGCCTCCAACATCAGCATACATTTATTAAAGACGCCCCCGCCTTGCACGGCAAGACTCCTCTATGACACCCTGAGCTCCTCTCTGCCACACACACACACACACTCCCTGCTCTTTAAATACACACTCCAAAGGCACACACAGACGCACACATAAAACACATGCAGGAAAATAAAAAGCATAATCTGAAGAACACCAGACACAGAGAACAAAGCCCTGCAGCACGACTTTGCACCTTGTAAACATTCGCCAAATTTACTGTAATTGTCCCATGTTGGTATAAATTCTGACTAAGGTACCGTATCACATCGTCAACATCTGAAAAGAAAGAACAGAGAAGAGGAGAATAATAGATGTGAAACGCTACGCCTCCATTGGGATTTGCTAAAGAAAACAACCAGTGTAAACAAATCACAAGCCTGTTTTCATATGCAATTCTGAAACAAGATAAACTATATAAAGCAAGGTAACAGCAACATCACCTTGGCTTGATTTTTCATTGCTTACTTGTGTCATTTGTAACTACTCTTCCTTTCTCCACTAGGGTGAAAAAGTCATTATCTCAAACACAAAAAAATGTTGAGAAACCTCATTAGATAGCAACATTTGTTGAGGGAGGACCGTAATAAACAGTAACGGATGACGATTGTTATTGCCCCTGACACTGATGAGCTCCTCTGCAAGTTTGTTTATTAATTAAAAAACCCACTTTTGTCCATGGGTGGGGGGGGTGGGGGTGGGGGGGGGTTGCTACCCATTTCCTCTATATGTCCCCCTTCCACCCACACTCCCCATGCACAAGCCATTGAGCTGTGGAGGGGCACTCGTTCATCAAACTTCATGGAGCAAGGGAGAGACAGGTCCTGATAATGTGCGCCGCTAAAGCTGATTTTCCATGATGAATCTCGGAGCATATAAATTGGCTAATATCTGAAAACATTTACAGATACTAGAGGAATTGACTACTTGTGGGACATGATGGATGAGGCTCTCCGACGCTGGCCGACAGCTCTGCAAATCTCTGCGGCTGCCTAAAGCCCTCATTTGATTTTCCAATTTACTCCTTTTAAATTTATCCTCCCGTATTGAAAAAAACAGAAGATGGGAAACAGAGAGAGAGAGAGAGAGAGAGAGTGGGAGATGAGAGAAAGGGGGGAAAAAAATCTGTGGGTTTTTTTTTTTTTTAAGATATCTGTGGTAGTGTGTACGTGCTAGTTGATGATATGAGGTGGTATCTCCTGTGCAGGAGGAGCCCAGTCCCTGAAGAGGTTACTGGGGCAGAACTGATCTGCTTCCACCTGATTCTCCCTGATAGCGGTGAGATGAGACTCTACATTTCTCTGTGTGTGTGTGTGTGTGTGTGTGTGTGTGTGTGTGTGTGTGTGTGTGTGTGTGTGTGTGTGTGTGTGTGTGTGTGTGTGTGTGTGTGTAGCAGTAGTAATAGTAGATCTGGGGAGGTGCTGCTATGAAGAGAGGCTTCCTAGGTCAGGCCATTAGACTGTGGCAGAGGCTGACTGGAGCTTCTCTGCTGAAAAGGAGTAATTAGTATACTTGTCAAGTGAAGTGCCACGCTGCTGCTTACCTCCCTTGCACCCACCCCTTGCATGCATACAGAACCGCACAGAAACACTCATGCTGCCTTCGCCTCCTCACTCCCTCCCTTCTTGCTAATGAAGTGCCCTTGCTCTCATTATTTGAGAAAAAGGCTGCATATACACATCGGCTCCACCACAGTAGAGAGGTGAGGGAGAGAGGAGAGGAGCACTTGAAGACAAGAGAGGAGGAACCATAACAATCATAGTGGATACTAAGTTGAGATTTTACTGGATAGAACATAATACAATATCAGTTATCAACACGTCTGATCTGCAAAACACTGAAGCCATTATGAATTCTGTCAAGGAACCACAGGATCATAGGAGACGCTAACATTCTCACAGTGTTAACATCAAACACAGGACATTTATAACCTTGCGTACAAGGCTTCTGTAAAGGAATGTGACAATAAATCTTAAAGGCGGTCGAATCACATAGTTACAAAACATGGAGCAGCAATCTAATCTGGAGCTGGGCCTTGGGAAAATGGAAAAGGTCAAATAGCTAGCAAAATTGCCTCCTCAAAAAAAGTATGTCTAAATCTAGAGGCACATCAACTCCTGTCAAAGGAGGAATAGAGAGAAAGATGAAGAGATAGCAGGAAGGGGAAAAGAAAGAGCAGGAGCTCCCCCAATGTTTCTGTTAGTGACTTCTGAGAGGTAGAGTTGGAATGACAATATGGCTATTTACGATGTAATTTGACCATTTATAGAACTTACCAGGAGGCTGAGACATGCAGTGTGTACACATGATGTAGGTTTAATCCATTCTATGATATGTGTCCATATCAAACATTATTTGTGTCAATGTAAACATTTTGACAATTTTAAAATATACTTTTTTTACATCAATTACGTCATTATTTTGATCCCCGACTTCATTGCATTTCAGTGATATTAGCTTAATTCAACTTTTTCAACAATCACTTTCAAGTAATTTGTTGTGATAATAAGTAAAACACTTGCTTGTTCCAGCCTTTTTGTATCATTTTAAATCAAAATTGCTTACAACTGTAAGAAAAAAAACTTCAATTTCAATTTGATTCAATTTAACTTCATCATTAAATATAATTCATAAATTATATTACATACATATACATATGTTACATAAATTATTGAATTAAATTAATTATTAATTCAAATATATAACGTGCAGAAATTTTTAAAGCAATTTGAGTACATACAAATAGTCAGTTTAATGATATCATTTGAGGCCCCGGACCAGTAACTTATAATGGACACTTTTTTGACCAAGAAAATTGAAAAATAAAGGAAAAGAAGATAAAAAGATAAATCTGTAATGAGAACTTGCCTTACATGTGCTTGTAAATTAAATTGTCACATTCACAACCCCTACTTTTATGGGCATTAGTCCATAAAATCAAACAAGCCTGAAAGGAATTCTGAGCTATACACTGTCTCAAGTGGTGCAAATTGCACTATATTTCCCAAAATTATACATAGTGCAGAAAATAGTGGATATAAACAGTGAAAAATGCACATGTGACCTTTCCTCCCCTACTGCCCAGTCCGTTTTCATGAGACAAGGAGCATTATGGATGTTGATATCATATTCAATACGTGATAAAACTGCTTTGAATGTATTGATTTATTTACAAGCGCCACCAGATAGTCTTTCATTCGGCTTGACTGATGCTCTCGCCAATACTTTTGCTGCAAGGAGAGGGGGAGGCAGCTCGTTGTTGGTGTCGTCATGTTGAGGTGTGGTGGTGGTGTGTGTAGCTAGTGGGAGGGAGGGAGGGGAGGGGGGGGGACACAACAACAAGCGAGCAAAACAAAACAAGGAAGGGACAGAAAACAATTTAAAACTCTGTATTGATCCAGCACTAGTGATTGTACATATATTCCACAGTCCCAAAGGCCCCATTCCTGTGTCTCTTAAATGCAAAGGGAGAGAGAAAGGGAATAAAAAAACGATGGTGCTAGGCAAAGGCAAGCCACTCACCCAGTTGGGGGTAATGTCCCTTATATAGAAGTCTATTGATCTTTGCAGTGCGCCTGCCTGCCCTCCCTCTGGAGTCTGACAAAAAACACACAAATACGCACACATGCACACTGGAGCGCACTCTGGGGCTGGTAGGGGGGGCATGACAGATACGCCTGCCAATAGCACTGAACCAACCTGTTAGCTAATTGCCAGCAAAGACAATTATCCTTGCATTGTTTCATAATGGAAACACATTAATGGAGTCTAATATACACACAGGGAGATTGGACGATCTGACCGTGCAGCCCATGTGTGCAGCAATTCATTTGTAAAGGCCAAGCAGGTCATGAGGAGATTGCAGGGAAGCTCTTTCAAAACAGAAGTCACCCTCACAGTCCTTGACTTTACAACTGGCAACAGTGCAAAGGTACAGCATAATGACATCTTCATTTGAAAACATTTCATACTCATATAGCAGATAGCAGTCAAATTATTTTACCAGATAAGAATTTAAGTGAATTTTAAATCTGATCTAAATCAAAGCATTTTTGTCACAGCATGTGTCCTTAGTTAGGCTGTTATGAATCTCTGATTATCCTGTAAAAGCCATCTAGACTCTGTGAAATCACTTTCTACGACAAGAACCACGACCATGACATTACTCACCAGCCTGCAAACACTGGGATGCTGCATGGTTACAACACTGTTTTGAAATTAAACAACAATCATCCAGGAAGTTTCATCTGCTACAAATCTATTCGGAGCAATAATAAAGCATGTTTTCACTGTATGGAGATGGTGGGGGGGGGGGGTTGGAGCACAGCGTGCTATTATCTGAAACGGAGTGCTTCTCCTGGATGGATGCCCTGTTCTACAAGCTGCTCAGACTAGTATTTTGACAGGCAGCGGATAACGGTGGGTCCAAAGCAATCACATCTTTGACTTTGACAAATGGCTGTGCTGTGGCGAAGTTGAAAATAACACACATCCACTTTAATCTCTTTCTTGATTAAATTGGAAGCACGTCTTTTTGACATCATGCGATTCACTCTCAAAGCACTGACTACTGACTACACACTCACACCCAATACTTGGGATATGCCTTTTGAAATGACAGTGAACCATGTGTGCATATAATATTGGGAATCCCAGAGTGAGAAAATAGAAAGAAGAAAGAAAAAGAAATGGAATAAACAAATATTACATGCAAAAAGGTGTAACTGCAAATTATGCCAATATCACAGAAAAAGATACTAATCAGAATGGACACAATTTCTGGACAGTGTCTTTGACATGTTTAAAAAAATATTTGCGTCTGGAATTTTGTTCTCCCACATCGTGTCCATCAGCGCTACTGAGGAATGGTTTGCTTTTTCTGCCATACTTTTCCTCAAGTCAATTTCCTCAGCCGGCCCCAGTAGGGACAGAGAAGGAGAAGGGGATGAGGGAAGAAGAAGAGAAGGTAGGAAGTAGATGGATGCATTGGGGGATGAAGGAGGGTAAGGGGAGAAATCAGGGGCGTTATAAATAACACTGATGAGGTGAGCTAGCATTGATCCACACTGCAGTTGAGAGGTGGGTGGTCCTCCCAGTGCTTAATTGCCAGTCATGTGCCCTGGGATGCAGCTACTACTAAATGTGGTCTGTCTCTCATTAGGCTTGGACAGGCTGAAAATACAGCAGCTAGAGCTGGAATTGGGGCTCAAACAGAAAGAGATTCAAAAGACAAAGTGCTACAATTAAGACTGATGGGGGGATGATAGAAAGCACAGAGTGGGGAAATGGGAAAGTGTTACTCACGCATTCCACCCTCCAGGTCCTGAAGGAACCTGTCCAGGATGATACGAGCCATCAGTGCAGGAGACAGATCCACCTTTACATAGATTGAAAACCAAAAAAAGAGAATTAGCTTTAATAAAAAACAGGGTATGGCGTCAGTGGGGACTTAATGCAGCTTCAAAACACAGGTATAGTGGAATTGTTATTCCTCTCTGGAGAACTGCTCCATTTACAAACCATTAGACTAAATCTCACGCACCTAGCTGGAAGTACGGACATATTTCAAAGAGCCTAAGAATATGGCACTAAAATTACTCAGCCAGTCTAACTTTGGCTGATGTCACATAGATAATAATGATTGTAATGATATTATTACGTTTTCAAACCTTGACCCAACTTTCGACAATCCCTGTGCAAATTGGTCTTTGAAAGCCTTCCTTTGCAAAAACCTTTCCCACAGGAACAAGAGATCGCCTATTACGCAGCCAAGCTGAATTGCCTTTGCCTCTGTCAAACGGACAACTGTGCTCTCTCATCTTGTATGAAAAAAGCAGCACACACTATGCCCAGACTAGAGACAATGGAGAGCTTTAATCATAGAATGATCACCAAGGCAAAACTGCAGGAACCAACAGGACATACCGGAGGGACTGTGGGAATGCAGTCCTTAATAGGAAGGATAGAACCTATGGCTGCAGCACTCTTTGAACACAAAGACACCTTGAGAGGTGTGCAATGTTTTTGGTTTGAGAGCAGGGAGAAGCCCTGACAGGTAAGGGAGCACTAATGACTGAAGTTGTCTACCTGACCACATTCCTATCACAATGCCTTCCCACTCAAAAAAAAAAGTAATATTATTCAAGTGGTAATATCATAATGGCAATTTTAAAGGCCTACACTAGGCCTGTGACAATTATTTATTTAAATGAACAGTAATCGTAAAATGTATGGATGCATGTACAAGCTTTAAAGGTAAACTAGGCGTATGGAGCAAAATTATTTTTTTCAAGCATTGCATTTGACCTTTGTTTAAACAATATATATGCTGCAAATAAGAAGACACATTAAGTCATTCACTACTAAATTTCACAGCCTCCTCAGTAAGGAGGGAATTAAAACATGGCTTGAAGACTTTGCCATTCCTAGCCAGCTTGTTATGAAACACAACGTACTTGCAGCCAAAGATCATTTTTTTCTCTTGTTAGCATAATTGGGGACCAAAAGTGAATTTGCCCTCAGCCTGTAGTGAGAATGGTGTGTTTCATCTTTTCTCTGATGCTTCCTGGTAACGCTGGAAGCAGAGAGGCTTCTGTCTAAACAATGTCTTTTTACCCGCAGTAGTATTTGTTAACATCTCCATAATATTGCACTAAGAAGGCAGCTTGTATAAAAAAAAAAAAAAAAAAAAAAAAGGCCAAACGTGTCTATAATAATTAAGGGGTGAGCACAGAGTTTATATCTTCATTAAGACCTCTGATAGCAATTCAAACTTAGCATTTGTAGCCTGCAGCTAGTTCTCTCTCCTCTCCCTAACCCTCCTCATTTTCTCTCTCCGTCTTCTCCCCTCTCAGTTCCTTCCTCTTTGTGCTTATTGGCCTGCTCTCCATTCACACCTTTGGAAAACGAGAGAGCATCAGATTCCTGGTAACCTGCATCAGGGCTGACACATGAAAAATGGCAACATTACCAACACTGGCCGAGGCTGAATAAGGACCACCTGATTAGTTCAGGTACTTGCGTCTCCCTAATTTTCATATTAATCATGAGTCCATCTCCATTCTCAAGTCAGACTGCAGCACTTCATGAGTTTTAACATGTGACTAAGATTCACAGAGCCTTGAATTCAAGCTGAAAATAATTATTGTTCAGTAGAATTCTGGTTTTTATTAGCCCCCAAAGCTAAGGGGTGTCACATACAACACAGCATAACTGCACCTGGTCTTAAGATTGTATGTGTAAGTAACCTTTACATAAAGATCCATATAAACCACGCAAAAAACAGAAAATGGTGAGTTTTGAACCTTCATTCATGGATTTTTTCTGGGGGGCAAAAAAGGAAATCCATGAATAGTTTTCATCATTGTTAATCATTTCCCTCTGTTGGAGATATATTGTCTCATAAAGGGATGAAACTACATCAATTAGTGATCTGGGAGACCATGAGTGCTTGGTTTAAATGTTAAGTAGCATATTAAAATGACAGTTAAATGGTTCATAGACAGTTATCTCTGAGCTGAATTTAATCCTTTGGAGAAAAAAAATCATGTGTCAATTAAATGGGAGAATGAATAATGGCAGTGAGCTTTGAAGTGCCACTGATGCATGTGAACTACTCTTATTTTAGAAGAAGAAACCCTCAAATCTCACTGCCTGGTGTGAGCACCAATAAAAATTTAAATGTGCATTTAAATGTTTTTAAAAAGGTTACACAGCCCATTCTAACAATCAAAATAAGAGGGAACCGCTAGAGTAACAATGTATTCAAATCATACATAAATTAAAAATGCAAGAATTTCAGTATCATGTAAAATCCAGTGACAATCTAAAATGTACTGCATCAATTCTATAGTAATTCCGCTAATTCAACTTCACTGAGTAGGAACTAGATTGATTCTTTGGTATTATCCTAATGGAAACGATAATTTACTGACTAGGTACAGAATGTAAGAAACACTAGGGGCCTCTGAGTAGATTACTTTTCACTAATGTGAAATGCAGAAACTTGGTCAAGTGAATAATTTAAGTGCTTGAAGCATCAGGCTATTTTATAACAAGCACACAAACACCCACCATTTACTATTTGAATTCCGTACTACTTAATATATTGGATTTAAATTCACATATAATTATATGTATTTTTACAATTGCTACTATATCAACTGGAGCACAAATCCAACAGTGACCTCCTAAAGTAAACAAACTGATGAAGTGATGAAGAGAGGAATTAACCAATGACCCTGTCCTCACCTGTCCGCAGTTTGCAGCAACTCTGCAATTTGGGAAATTGCATAATAAAACACAAAAAGTATTTTCACATCTGCTTAATGGAGGTGAGAGTTAATTACATCAAATAATTGATAATGAAGCAGACTATTTTACCAATTTTGATAATGACTAACAGACGAGGGGAGAGAAAAAAAAATCAAAAACTGCAGCCAACTTCCATCTATCCATAGAAAAAAGCAAGCATCAGTTGAAGGGATTTTTTTTCAAAGGTTAAAAAAGAAAAAAAAAAAAGGAAAAATAAGTAAAGGTTACGCCATTACCTCATTGGCCAACTCCAGCAGGACGGGAGCAGTGGGATGTGCCTTGACTTCACTTAGATACCTTCATTATAACAAAGAACAACAGCAGTGAAAAAAAAAAAGGAGAAAACATGGCCCACAAAGGCAGACAGAAGGGTAGAGGGGACTAGACCAGGCTAGCCAAGACATGCTAATGTCCCTGATGACTTTGCCCTAGGTGGCATATGGCAGGCTCGGTGCGGTTAAAACAGCACTGCTTGAAGGGCTTCAAATTTCCTTGAAGCCAGACAAGCATATGATAGTTAGTTAACCCCTGCCGCCCAAAAAGTCTTTTTTCCCTCGCCAGCTAAAACTGCAGCTCCCCTCAGATCTTACCCAGATCATCTCTGAGGTTTGTTGTTGTAAGTGGATTAGAAGTGCATTATCCAGCCTTGCTTCCCCCTGAACAATGGCCTAATAAGCTAGATAAAGGCTAATTGCAATATGCAAAGAGGCTTTCCCCCCTACAGTCTGTTTTTCTTTCTTTTCTTTTTTCTTTTTTAATTTATCCATATTCATTGAATTACAGATAATCATCCCATCATAAGCCCGTGTAAGGCAAATGCCCAATGGCTGGTTATTTATTTATTTTTCTTTCAATTTGACATGGAGAACAGAGCTTTAGTTTAGCAGGTGCAAGTGGAGGTCTGGAATGAATCCTGAGGGTGGTGATTTGTTTGGAGGAGATTATATCTGTCATGGTGGCCCACCTACTCTCATGTGACTTTGGCAAGTCCCTTCCACAGTCAGACAAAGAGAACACACAAGAGTGGGAGACAGATAAAAAAAAAACAGTGATAGAGATGAGAGGAAGATAAACATAGAGTACTAGACAGAAGAGAGAAGAGCAATAAAGCAATACAATACAAAGTAATGTAGTACCTTTGGTAGTGGCTTTCAATAACATCTGGTGCATGGTGTCTTGAGATCGTTCTTTTGGTTCGTTTCTGTCACAAAGAGATCACAGATGTAATAATAATAATAATGATAATCACAATAATAATAATAATTATAACAAACAAGGATGATTTCCATACAAAACTGTGAGGAGGCAAAAGCATTTTTTCAGCCCAAAATGTTCAGCCTGTTCAGCCTTGGCTCCTCTTTCATGCCCTATTGTATATGAACAAGTGTAAGAGATCTTAGGTCACAGTAATTTAATTTCAATAAGTTTGCTGGGGGTCAAAGTGTGCCGAGGCAACCTTGTTCAAAACCCCCACCCCATATCCACCTCCATCCCCCTGACTCAAACCTTGTATTCATTTCCCCTTTTTTTCCATCAAACAATGACCCTATTCCACATTCCACACCCTGACATTTCCATGCAATTCAATTGCCATCTTTGCTGAGAAGGAGGAGGACATGGGGATAAAAGAGGAAGAGCATTGGTTAAAAAACAACTTATTTAAAAACTACTACACACAGAAAAAAAATGTAATTCCGCAGAGACAGGCAGTGTGACTGACACCTGTCAGGGGGATGATAAATGACTCCATTTTCTGCCTGTGCTGCCTTCTGCCACTGGCGGCAGCGGCCATTTATCATCATCCGCTGTCAGCCGTGGAAAGCAGCAGTGACAGTGCGAGTCAGCAAACATTTAGCACACGCAGCCGCACTACACGGGGAAATTATTATTGTCAGAATAATAATGGTTTAGCATAATTTATTACAGGTCCACCAAATAAGCAGGGGCTAGATGTTATTAGACAGATGGATGGGAAGGCTTGGCAGACATCCACTGAGGCTCAGGCAGGCAAGGGCTCTCAACGTGAACGTGGGGAGGAGGAGGAGGGGGGTGGAGGTGGTGGTGGGAGAGAGGAGTTGGGGGTGGGGGGGTGAAATAAACGGGGATATGGTGGGGGGGCATCCTCCAAACCAATCAGAGAGCTGGCAGTTCAATTACAAAGAAATAAAGGGACATTCATCATTCAATTAGGCACCTGTCAGGGCTCACAAAGGAAGAAAACTTCTAACCTGGTACTCCAGGGAGAAGATGCTCAGAAGAGTGGACTGCGAGTGACTGGAACAAATAAAAGAAGGACAAAGTTAATTACCAGAGTGCATTGCACAGAGACAAAGGGAGAGGGGGAGCTTCAAAGCTGGGGCCAGCTGCCCTGTAATCTAAAAGAACATGAAAACAAGTGTGGCAAAGTTGTTCCAGATGAACACCTCTGACAAAGGATTCCTGCCACGATGGCGTGGGGGTGTGAGAAAGGGGGAGTTTGCGTGTGGTATGAGAGATGAGAAAAATATAGCCTGTGTTTTTTTTTTTTTCTTTCACTCATTCATACGCACTATTTCTTCTCTCTCCCTTTTTCGCCTGGAAGAATGCTGGGAGCTAAATTGTTCTTAATTGAAGTGCTGTTTCTGCTGTTGTGAAACTATACAAAAGGAAAGAACTCATGGCCAAACTAAACATGGAAAAATCGGAGAGAAATGAATGACGTTCACGTAAATAACTGATAGGGTTCATGTCCATTTGCTGAGGGAAACACTGCATTCACTGGCAATTACACTCTCTGGATCGGCAGGGAGATGACCGCTGTGAGTGTCTGGATTTGTTTGTGTGAGTGTTGTAGCAATACACAGATAGGAGAAAGTTTTCCTGCTTCACTTCCAGTGCTGGGCTGGCATATGGGCCATTCGGGAGCCCTCCCACTGCAACTGATGGGCTTTGAAAATGGAAACTTTCACTGCAGGAAGCTGGGACTCCCAGGAGTCGGTCAATTCCATGGGTTGCCATAAGCTACATTCATCTCCAGCTCCAGTCAATGTCAAACACCTGGCAGAGAGGCAAACCTGGAAAACAGGCAGCTCCAGACGGGGACTCACAGCCCCCTCGATATCCCTCCCCAACCCCCACAGTATCCTTTGAGTTGAAGATATTTAAAGTGGTGACAGATATTACTCTAATTGGATGGTACACACCTCCACCTTGGATATGAAAAAAAACAAAAATACATATGAATGCAGTTGAAGCATGCACACACATACAAACTGCTCTGTGATGGTCTCCAGTGGTGCTGTGTCTCCATGTACTGCTCTCAGTACACTTGATTGTTAAATTTAATGGACTTTTCGTTACAAGTCACCTGAGAATGGTATGTAAATACTGACAAGAAGCCGATGCTTCCAATCTGCATTGAAATATTGAGTCCACATAGGCCTTCAACATCAATCACTATAAACCATGAAATAACCACGTGACATGTAAACAAAGCCAAAGGAATCTCAAACACTGATTTGTGTCTGGAGTCTCAGACTGTGACCATATCTTAATAAAAGCATTCAACCACTGGAATAGTTCAGCACTTTATAATGACTTACCCCACCAAAGACGTCATCTTGGGTTATCCAGACGCCAGATTTAAAACAGTTTTACTGCTCTGGCTGGAGAACAGCTAATTCTCAAATATTCAAACTCTCCAGGGCTCTCACCCCATCACACAGATGAGTCTCGTCAACTACAAAGTTACAGTCACAACGGAGAAGGACCAAATGTTTGAAGTAAAGGGGAAGAAGGGGGGGGGGGGGGCTCTCAGAAAAAAAACACTGCCACCTCAGCATTAATTTACAATGATGCTTGGGGACGATGGGGCCACTGCAATTAAGTGGGCCATTAAATGGTCAACTGTCAACATGTGGACACTTAAGAGAGGAAAAAAATTTCTTCCACACTTCAACCTTGCACCTGAGCATTTCAACAACATTACAGCCTTATTGTTGGCATGGGACCATCATGATCCCCCCGTTGGAACAGACATCTGTTAGGCTTTAAATGGATTACTCTCTATAATGAGCATGATTACTGCCTAATTGCTAAATCTATACCCTGTTAACTTTAAAGGGACATAAACTGCTCTTAATATCTGAGGAAACATATCTGTTTCAAAAACACTAAAAACTTTGGGGACTTTTGTTTTTCTTTCTTACCTCAATCAGTATTTGCCGACATAAAAAACTGCACCATGGAGATACGCTGAAAATAAGTGACGTACCAAGACAAGATTTTAAGAAAATAAAAAATGAGGGCAATGTAAAGAGATAAGAGCAGATACCTGGATCCAAACCAAGAGTTGTCTGCATTTTATAGAGTCTGTCAAGTTTTACACTGGGCTCATATTGTATAATGCTCCTTTTTCCATTTGACAGACATTAATAGTAAGTTATTGCTGACTTTACATTAATGTATATCCAACCTGTGCTCTCCTGGGCACAGTATGCTCACTTCATGCTAAAATATGGAGCCAAGTGCAGTGTTACAATGGGGATCTGATCTGCCTGCTGAACAGTAGCATTACATTTTCACTGTAATATATCCACCTCCTTAACTCATAATACCAGCATTTGAGGAATTCAACCCTAGCTCAGCGGTTATAAAAATAAAGTGATACAAAAACACTATTCCAAAACCTGGTTCTTTATCGGTCTTTTTGAGCCTTCAACAAAGCTGATGATTAGTATTTTATTTGGACATGTGCACATGATTAGAGCAGCAGCAGGTTTAGTTTCTGTGTAAAATAGTTTATAATGTTATGTGATATGACAAAAAGTTGACAGTAAAAGACAATAAGGTCAGATTTTCAACCTTTTTAAAAAAAAAAAAAAAAAATCATATTACTATAGCTGTCTGTTTGTGATGAAGTTACGACTGAAAAATGAACCAAAAGACCAATTAAGGACCTAAAAGAGAAGGTCATATTACTGTCATTTGTTTAAAATAACTGTTAGATGACACAAATTTCTTCTGGAAGTAAATCCTAAAACAATTCTTCAGCTATGACCGAGGATAGGAAATGAGTCTCAACTATATCTGTACATAAACAATTAGCCTAATTTATTTTTTTTATTTTTTTTTATTGCATTGGTAAGATGTCATGGTAAACAACTGAGTTCATCAATCCCTGTCCTACTTACTTAAACTACTTGGTTGTATTTTATGAATCAGTGATGCGTACCAGTTTGGTTTCAGTTCAGTGTTCAGTCATTGAAAATTATTACAGCAAACAAAGAACACCTTTGAACATTCATTTCAAAAAAAGAATCTGTGACACGGCAACTCATCCTTACACTGACCTTTATGTGAGAAGAAAAAAAATTATAAAAATCCCTCCCTCTTGGATATAATTTAGAACATGGGGAAACAGAAGGCTGGGAGACAGAAGAGTGGTTAGGGAATCATTCACTCTCAACCTAATTACCCTTCCTTACAACATAAGACAGAGCATTAATATGCACTGGCACCCAAAATAGTAAAGCAGCAGATTAAATTAAAAACAATTAGGGACTTTCACTTTGTCACTGAGCTGGTATGCCTGTCTGGTCAGTGCTGTAGGCTCTATTAAGCTAGGCTATCCACTGGTTATGAATCTGACAAATTCAAGTTTGAGTGTCGAATTGCCTAATCTTCTTGTGCATTCAGAGTGTATCAGTGTCTTAAGCATACAGGAAGAAAAAAAAAAAAAAAAACACAGGGAAAAGCCTAGAAATTCACATCAACCTAATTAATAGGAGATGGGAGAAATTCAAGCTATCAATTATATTCAGAATCTTCCTATTTACAAATAATTAATTATAAACAATAGCTGTAATTTAGGTAATGAAAGCCACCTGGCTAATGGCATTGGTATCATATGCTGCGACAGTGCTTAGCATTTGGTGGATCTGCATGCAGAGAGTGTTGCATGGTGCGACTCTTCAGGGCATGGAGCTGGCTAATTGAGGCATAGCACATATTTTTACTAATGGCAATGAAGCTATTTAGAGAAGGGAATGACATGGATGAAATGATTCACTCTTAAAAACCGTATAGAAATATTGCTTGGTTTTAACACCTCATTCTATTGTTATCTATACCTCTATTGCTATAATTATTAGCTAATGCCTTCCTAGCATAGTTTGTATTTATGTCTCATCTTGCTTCATTCAAGCAAGACTGCTGACAATAATATGTTAAGCATTTACTTTCCTATAGATCAATATTTTATAAAGTGAAAAACAGCTGAATGTGGGTTAAACACTCTGGATATGCAAATGCTGCTAATTACACATGCTGATAGGCAAAATGCTAACATCTGTTTCTCAGCTATGCCTACCATCATCAGCAGCAAAACAAATGCGTAGAAAAAATATCTTTATGCGTTAATGTATAAATGTGATGTATTTTGACAAGAGATAGAAACAAACACAAATCTCAGTGTGTCACACAGCTTCAAACAAATAGTTGCACAATGAGCACACGTGTTTACAGTTCAAATTAGTTTTACTTTTTTCCCCCTGCAAAACAACAGTAAAAACTGCCTTCTACTACCATCAGTGCAGCAGCAATCATGTATGGCATTTAATGTGGTTGTAGAAATTGTTTTGTTATTTTCATTTCTATTATGATTTTTACTTTGTGCATGTAAAGTCTGACAAATGAGCGGTTTCGTTATATTTGTTTTAACATAACTGAAGAAAGACTCACCAAAAGCCAAACTCGGCAGAGCATAGTCCACTTACAATTTACTGATAGTGACCCCCCCCCCCCCCCCCCCCCCCCAACCTCCCAACCGTCTCTCTGCAGAAGGCCGTAGAAAACCTAAAAAGCCTGCAGGGGACTGTGCACAGAAATGGCTTTAGCAGAAGCACAACAGGGCATCTCACTGCCTACTATTGTCCTAATAGATGAAAAATATCACCCCTACGCTGCCCCCTTCACTTTATTACAATCTTTAAAATTTCTGTCTGCTGAGGTGCCCTGAGATGTCAGAACTATTATATAAGGGTGGCAAAAAGAGCAGGAAATATCCTACAATCACCACACTAATTGTGATTCCTCCTGAAGGCTTGGGATCTTCAAGACCCACTCTGTGACGAAACTTGGTATAACTATTATGGTGTGTTTCCATTGTTATGGTGTAATTATTGTCATTCCTGTTTCTGCAGACTCTCATGGAAAATTGAAAATGAGGTCCATGTTATCCGTCAAGTGGTGAGCGTCCACTGGTCTGGCAAAGAAACACATTACGCTGACCAATTGCCTACTCCCCCAAGCGTGGCTGCGGAACTTGTACCATTCTGGACAATTTGTTTCATTCTTCTTTTGCAATTGATCCCAGTATGCAAAGAGAACCTGGGGCGAGAGACGCTACCATCGCTGCCCAGCTACACTGTGCTACACTGTAGGTTTCCCTTGTATGTGTATGGCTCTGGGGGGGTTGAGGGACAACAGTGATTCTACACCAAGTAAAGCAAACAATGCCTTGGTGTTACACACAATAGCTCATATTCCTGTGTCAATAATTTCCTTCTACTAATTCAAACATCTTATCCTGTCAAGCGATCCAATAACCGCAGTTTTTAACCTTCGAGATAATGGCCCTTAGAATCACTATAAGCCGCACCTTACTTGAGCAACGGGCTGCTTACCTCAGTGTTTTTAGCCCAATGAGGCGAGAAGGCTTTACAATCTATAGAGTGTGCCTGGACAACGTCCCTACGATATGAGGAGGAAGTAGTCATTCCTGTGCTTCCTAATCAAGTAATTGATTGCATCTATTATTCATGAACTCCTTAGCCTGACATGAAGTTGTAAACTCAGCACAGCTTCTCCTTTTTCTACATCTCTCCTCTCTGCTTACACTTCATTCATCCCTTCACCCTTCCAATGCTCATCTAACCACATAAAGCTGTGGAATTAGTTTGCCAGTCTCTCAGCCTTCAAGGGTTGCACCCCTAAGCCCCCAACTGCCAGTTTGTGTTTTGTTCAATATGGGCAGCCAGAAGTGTGAGGCCGTGCACTGGAGGCCGTCAGGGCTGCCCCCACAGGCTCTGCACTAGATCAGTCTGGGTAATGTCATTGCCACTTCCAGGCTATAAAATAGCTGTGGAATTCTACCTTCACAAGATCTACAACAGTGCAACTCAGTTGATTCCGCAGAGACAACAGTGGAAATCAGAGTTAAACCAAAAATCATATTATGAAAAGGCTTGTGTTTACCGTTTGAAACCTTGATCCAGGCGAGCCTTAAAAAATGTTTTTGAAGTGAAATTAAACGTGTGAATTTTCAGGTATAGCCACTGCAACAGTCAACAACAGTGGTTAGACTACTTGATGGAGTCCGATACATTTTCTGATTTGCAAAAACTTTATTTGATCTCAAATTAAAACTATACCGAGATTCCCAATCTTCTTATACTGACAAGTGTTTAGGACACCTTTGTCAAAGACAACTATAAACCCTAAAAATGTTCAACAAATAAAAACTGTACATGGATTTCCAAAATCTTAAACTACGCTGTAAAAGATAGGCTGACATAAATGAATATAAGATTTTTAAAATAAAAAACAAAAAAAACAATCATAATCTTTTGTTGAGTTATGAGATATAAAGTTAAACTAAATGTACAGAGCCTGCTAGTTTAATGCATCCTGCCTGTTACCAAATCCTTAGGTTTAACCAGCGTGTTAAAAAAGAGAGATAAACACTACAGCCACAATAAATAATCAATGAGCAACTCCCCAAGCTTCGTCCTGAGCCGAGATATTACCATCAAAAACAAAGTGTCTGTAGCCAAGAAATCACCATATCAATGGCACATGCCACAACAACCCTGCCCCGCGCTTTCCTTCCAAAGATCATGCTAGATAAACCCCAAATAACAGAGAAATTAACAAATGCTTGACATTTGCTCAACATCCATTATTCTGACACTTCTTCAGAATTTCAAAAGGCTGAACGCATGCTTAATCAACATTCATATTCCCAGAGCGAGCCCCAGCACCATATTGCAGCCCGCCTCAGTGCTGATGAAAACGGCACATTAGGGCCCGATTCGAAAAACGTTCAGGGACTCCTCACCAGGGTCATGTATGTGTGTGTGTGTGTGTGTGTGTGTGTGTGTGAGAGAGTAAAAGAGAGAGAGAGAAGCAGTGGTTGTGTTTGGAGGGGAGGGATGCTTCACACTTTATTTTTTAAAGCATTTTCCAAAACAGAGGCATCTGCCCCTTTCTGCACACCCTCCAACTTTCATGACTGTGAACGCCATATGAGGTGTGAGCTGAATGGCATTTTAAGGAGGAGGGGTAATCATTACATCCAAATTCATTCATAATATGGCACAGAAGGACACGGAGGACTCTCACATTCCCTCCCACTTTTTCTCGCCCTCCTCACACAGACTCTCTCTAGGGACAAAGGGTGGAAGGACTGGGGTCCCCTCTAGACCCAGGGGGAAGCTAGGCAAGGCCTCAGAGAGCAGCCCATCATTTCCAATTCTAATATGTGGCAAGAGAAGGACCTGATGGGACTGATGTCACATTTTTCCCCACACCGGCCTGCGATGAGTCCTCCCACACCCCTTCCATGCCTAGCCACGGTCCAGATACTAGACAGGACACCACGGCTGGCTAAGAGGAGGGCAAGGAAGAAAGGGCAAGAATGGGGGTTGATATTTGCATGTCCCTCCATTGTGAGTGGGGGTAAAAAGTGACAGCACCGTGTCCAATTCTTTTCCCCCCAGAGCAGCTCGGGCCCGGCAAGAGAGGCCAGGCTGACAGATGACTCCCAACATCTGTGTTATGCAGCCGTTACAGATGAGGGACTCCACATCACAATCTCTCTCTTTCTATCTGTCTATAGGACCCTCCCTCTCTCCTCCCACCACCCATGCTCATAGGACAACAGAAAGACTGACAGACGTTCCGTGGAAATTACCTTGAAATGGTCTATAACAATCAAATTGTCCAAAGTTTAAATTTTCCTCCCTTTTACTCCCCAATCAAAAGCAATGATTATGAAATGGTTTTGTACTCAATACAGCATTGAGAGCCTAGAGGGTAATGGATATTCCTACTGATCTACATCACTGAAACTCAAATAGTTTAATTCCAAATAAATAAATACATTCTGGGAAATAAAGTTAAAATCTATGTCAGGACAGTAATAAAAATATTTTTATGTGATCAATATATATCACAATATTGAAGATCCCGTGAAAAAATCAAACTCATGTTCTATATAATGATGTAATGTCTATATATATTAAAACCAGACCATGTTTTTGCACATATGATTTTTATTATTGCTATTTAATTACAATTTGCAAAAACTTTCATTGATTCTGCAGAATTCTGTAAAATGATCACATGGTACCATCTTATCATTGCGATATCATTTCACATACAGTCAATTATAGATGATTATGAATTTATATTGACTGGACAGATGTTAGTATAAAAAAAAAACTTTAAAAATATAAGAAAACTGTATATATTAAAATCATCACTTAGGAAAATAATAGTTGTCCTCTGTCACAAAAATATGGCACATGCCCCCGAAAAAACTATCATACACTCCACCATGACACTGGTAGACAACACATGAATCTACAGTTCACTTAACATTGCTCACATTATTTGGAAATCACCTAGTGCGATGCAAAATTATTTAATATCCAGATACCTGTCTTTTCTATATCTCTCACTATTATAACCCAACCAATCTTTTGCCCACCCCTCCAGTGCAGGGCTGTCCACAACAAACCCCTAGCCCCTCTCCAGCCCCCCCCTGCCAGCCCCAGCCTGGCCAATATTTACGCAGTGGCAGGGCTCCCACACAGTCCGAGGGGACAGGAGGGGTGTGGGGCGGGGGTGGCTGACTGCCGTGCCTGAGCGCATGCTAAGAGATGATGGATGGCCTAGTCGATATGTTATGTCTTAAGAGCCTGATTTCCTGCCAGTCCAATCACTAACCCTCCAGAGCCCAGCTCAGCTGATTGGACAACCAGAATAATTTTGCAGGCTGTGAAAACACTGCTGCCATGCCTGTCTGTCAGGCGCAGTGACGAGACTCAGGGATTTTAAAGAGCAAGGGCCTCCCCAAGATTGGTTATGGTGAACGAAATAATAACAATAACCAGCAAGACTAAACAAAAGAGCCAGCACCTCCTGGAGAGAGAGATCGTGCAGAATTATTGGAATGAAAGCGGTCCGGTGTTTTCCTTTAATTATTACGCCCACCAGTACCACTTTTTGAAAAATTGGCATTCGGACTGTTTGCTAAAGACAGTTTGGATTAGGAAACCAAAAGGAGAAGGAAAATCAAAATAAACATGAGAAGGGCCTCCTAGTGTTGGTGCCTAAACATACAGGATATTGGATGCACTTTATACGCATGACATATTCTGTAAAATGCTGACAGTGAGAACAAAGGTTAGCTGAAGCTCCGCTGAGTCCCCTTTGGGGACCTTATACCTTCTTCTAGATTGGTGATTAGGGCACAATGGAAGTAGGAAGCTCCAAATACATGCGACTTTGTAAGTGACCTCTACGGGATCAGCCATGGTGTCCTGGTGGCCTTGGGGGATTACACATGTTACGTTCAATAAAGTGAGGGCCCTCAGTGTCAAGGAGAAAGGCAAACACAACCATTAACCTCTCTCTTCGATTTCTGGGTGTGCAGGCGCTGCATGGCAAAACATTGGCTAATGCTGTGGTGAAGGCTTCTGCAGGAACCTTTATGGAATTAATTAGTGATCATAACAATTGAATTAAATGGGATTATAAATATTTAATATCAAAAGATAAAAAGAGACAAAGCAATAAATGATGTTGCTATGGGGAGTTGATGGATAGACAGATGATAAAGTTATCACTGAATTTACCTTAACTTGCTCTCATGTGTATAAATTATTTTACTAAAATCCAAACACATAATGTTTTGATTGATAATGTACAAAGTATGGTTTAAAGATTCTCATGCAGAGATGTTCTGTCTTTTCACTCAGTCACACATAAACACACAACTACAGAGGCTACACACAATAAATCCTCACATGTAAAGTAAGCTCACAAAATAAATTCAGTGTGTAACCACTTACTTTGGAAATCTTTCCTTGAGCATCTTCATACATTGTCGTGTGGGTCTCAGTTGTTCAGTCCACCTCACTATCTCTTTATATTCAGCTCGGGATAGTCTCATCTTCCTTTGATTAGCTGCTGCATCTACCTGTGCGAAAAGGGAGAGAGTTTGACAGGTAAACAACATGTCAGGTGGCTGACAGCTGTCATAAACAGCTGCACCTGCATTGCTAAGTAAACTTAGCTTTATGTTATGGCTAACGCGAAAATCTAAAAGCATATGATGACATAAAACACGATGTCTGATCTTCGAAGGATTGCTGTGTGGCTATTTAATGCAGCACATCATCAAATATGACCCCAGAACAATTAAAAATATGTAAAAGGATAGTTTACCACTGATTCCTGCTGCCTGTGGACAGTTCCCCGGTAGCTGCTTCCCGCTAGGAAGTTGAAGAGGTGACTTTTGTGTGAGCAGTGCGTTGATTGGTCGATTGATCCATGAAGCTGAGTATACCAGCGGGTGATTGGTTATTTAGCATCCAGGGGGCGGTGTCCAGCTATGACATGCTGCTCACCGCATCGCGTTCTCATCAGCTGCAAGCGATACGTACAGAAAACAGGTACCAGAAATGAACAGATACACGCTCTCCTGTCAAACAAGTATTTTCCAATTCAACAGGACAAAAAACCCTCTGAAATACATGAACCGTGCGGTCTGGGGAAAATATTTGGTGGAGGAGAGAGTGACGGAGAAAAAGAGGCACGGAGAGAGGGAGCGCCTTTCCGTGTGTGGATGTGGTACAGTATAATGAGTACTGCCACTCCACGGATAGCTGTGTCACTGATTTAACACGTTTTAACGACACATTGCCTTTTTTTGCATTAATTTAGGAAAACAGCAGAGACAAAGCAGTGCAAATGCTGTAAGATTATGGTCTAGCTGGTGCTTCTGATGCTTGAATCCCTACACGGCTGCTCTTTAGCTTTGACCAAATTGTTTGTACCTGGATGTGGTGCTGTATCCTATAGTCTGATGTAACAAAAAGCATATGATTTAGCCAGAAATTTAAAACAGGGTGAATATTTAATAATTAATAATCTGATATATATTAGAGGCAGTACTGGAGGTTGAGACATAACTTCAGTGGCCTGGCTTTTCTGTTTATACTGCTGCTTTTTTCATTTTAAATATAGCCTATGAGAAATTGAAAAATCTTACCAGAGAGCACCAGTTAAAACAAAGTGTCTTTACAATCCACCTCCAAATTACAGCATCTTTAACTGCTATATCCATATGAAGTGCAGTGATTGTGAATTTAGCCATACATGACATAGCCTTGAGAAGTTTACCAAGTTGCACTGCAGTAAGTATCACTGATGTGTATATATTGGATTTTCTTTTCATCTTTGCAGTGGCTCAATCAGAGGCATGGATAGGAACCCCACCCCCCCACCCCCACCTGAGAGAATATTGGTCTGGGCTTTCCTTAATTATTTCTTACAACCTGCAGGAATTTTTGTGGGCCATCCTCAGCTGTGGGCCCCTAAATGATCAACACCTTTCACCTCACCAGTGAAGGTAGAGCTTTAAATGCCCCCAGCAGAAATATGCAAATGAGACCAAGGACAATGATAAACTGTAGAGTAGTGTGGTAGAAAAGACTCAGAAGCTTTGTAAATCATAGAAGAATAATTTTGAATTAAAAGGATAAATGTTTGCTCTGCCTGCAATGCTTGTAACTCCAAAATGCTTTTAAAATCAATTGAAATATCTGTTTAATAGTTTCTAATGCAAACTGATATTTGAGGGAAAATGGTCAATAGTTGATTAATGATTAATTTTGTTTCTTTCTTTCCATCTGAACTGCATGATTGTCTCTAGAGTGTTGATTTTAGATAACCCTGAGATAAGACTAAGATCTTTAAGACCTAATTTGTCAAATACATCCCTTGAGCTCAATATAATTTAACAATGACATTGTTTTGTAATTACTCTCTGAACAGTGCTAAACCTCAGTCTAATAGATTTCATCTTTAACCTTCTGTCTTTACATACAGATGCAGTGAAGTCTCAGTTCTCATTTTATGGTGAGTTTCAAAATCATTTTTGGTGTTTTTTTTTTTTGTTTTTTTTTCCTTTCATGAAAAGCATACCAGAAATTGTTCCATAATTTTGCAAAAAAAAAAAAAATCATCACCACAAATAATCATTCTTAAAATGCACAAAAATCTCAACTTAGATTGGCAGTGCTGTCTGTGAGCCCGTACGACGATATCAAGTAATTCTATGGTCGAATCTAACATTCTTTTGACAACAGCATCGCTGGTTTCCTCCATTGTAAGTGAACAATGCATCGGTGAGCAGAAAGACTCTATCTGACCTGTGGTGCATCAGAAAATAGAGCTCATTGTTGTTGGGCAGTGTAGTATGATGTCTGAGATGAGCTGAGGTCTCTGGCTATGTGTTCACCGGCACAGTCCCTGGGTCTGAAAGGGCTCAGCACTCTGTGGTGGCTACAAAAGGGAGCTGTGTAGTGGGATTGGTATGGCCAGATAAGATCTGGGCCTCTGAGGAAGTCTGGTCTGATTGCTACAAAGGGCTGAGGTCAGGGGCAGGAGGAGCAGTTTACTCATCTAGGTATCAGAGGATCAGGGGTTTTTGGTGGGGAGCCGCGTGTGTAATAGGTATAAAAGGATCAGTGTAATGTGATGGTATAAAAAGATAAAAATCAGAGAAGGGGTTGGAAGGCAGTGTACTGTAATGGCTCCAAAAGCTGGGGGATCAGAGATTTTGTTGTGTGTAGGTGTCTCCTCGTGTGTGTGTGTGTGTGTGTGTGTGTGTGTGTGTGTGTGTGTGTGTGTGTGTGTGTGTGTGTGTGTGTGTGTGTGTGTGCGCGCGTATGTACTCAGTGTGCGCAGACACCCTTGCATTGAATCAGTTTGTGTCTGTGTGCATCTTTGATGGCTAGGCGAGCCACAGTGGGCTGCGATGAGAGCTGAAGGAGAGAGCGAGGCGATGGAGGGGATACAGGGAAAGGATGCAGGGGGAAAATACGAGTGCTTTGGAGGCTGCGTGTAAACAGGGCAGTGGTACACACCGTGCTGTTAACCAGCTGTGAAGACTGCTCACAGTGGGAGATGAATTTACAAAGGATGTCTCCCTCTGATATCCAGGAGACGCTGCACTGATCTCTGCTCCACTGCTCTCGGCACACCATTGTAGTGCTAAGCACCGTGCCACTAATGGCACTTATATACCTTAATGCCTGGAAAACATTTACATTTTGCTTGCAGCAGAGGGGAAGCATGTGGCTGTGGAGGGGAGAAAATGTGTGCGTGCGTGAAAAAATAGTTTTTTATCGACAGCATCTTCAGTCAATGAATCTAAGATTTGAGAGGTTGTGTAATTTCCTTTAGTCATCGCACAGTTTAAGGAAATTGCAAGCCCTCCCATGTCTTGCACATTAGTCCCTCCTTACCACGTCCAGTGATATTACTCACCATACAAAGAGAGCATTTTGTTACACTAGATCGTCAGAACTACTGTCATAATGTTTCTTTTTTTTTTTCCATTTGTGAAGTCAGTGACTTCACTCCTCTGCACCACAGAATTGCTCTCCAATCTTTAGGGAGTCTGGGATCTCAGCTCTAAAAATCACAGTTTAAACATGAGGGAAGCCATAACCAGGAAATGCCTGTAGTATTAGCAAGGTATCGGATTCATGCATTCCCCTCTGAACAGCATGACTGCCCCTGAAAATCCCACATCCATATTTTACATCACGGGAGACAAGACACATGTGTTTCACCCTAGCTTTCAAAGCTGTTTCTTCCATTTATTTTATTATCCTTTAATGAATTTAATTAGACGACATGTAATTAAATGCAACTGTGCTCACCCCCATAACGTACACACACGTGCACATGCAAACACACAGGCAACACATTTGGCTGTAAATTGCTCAAAACAACATGTGCGATGTGAACAAATTTACTGGATTAATAGGGGATTGATAATATTTTGGGATTGTATTTCACTCTAAACGGCTGCACGCGGAAACAAAGGCTGCAGCCCAGGCTCATTAATCATAGTCAACGGGTTGCCCGGGTGCAATTTGCATGACCGAGGTGGCTGCACATGCTGCCGTTCGGCCTAGGTTGCTGGATCTGCCTCGATTTGGCCAGACCGTTAACGCCGCGTCAATCAAGGATAACCCAATAACAGTGTGACAGAGGAAGACGGGAAAAAAACATTTTCTCCTCATTACCCAACACCCCCTTCCCCTCCTTCCCTTTCCCTGTCTGCCCAACTTCTTATTTTAGTTAGCACTAATTACACCAGCCTGATGAAAAATGAAAGCATTCTGTTACATTTATTATAGAATTTATCACAGAAGTATAAATTCATGATTTTTTCTTTTTGAAGAATTATGGGTTTTTTCAATAGCTGAATATTTAAAATATTCAAGTTTCCGGTATATAAATACACTTTTAAGGTATTTCAATATCATTCAAATGTTATAATATTTAGTCTGAATGATACATCAAATTGATATCCAGCATTTTTGAAAATTTAGGGAAAATAATCACTTTTATCTATAAAGAAAAGTTTTTTGGTTCATCTGTATTTTTTGTCAGTCACAGTTTGGAGCCTCACTAAGCCATTTTAACTGCAGATAATTGGGTTGAGGCGTGATGCAGTGAAGTTCAAAATGAAGCACAATTTCGCAAAACTGTAATCTCACCACTGGCTCCATACACTGAATTCTAATTATCTCGTCATGAACTTTAAAAAAGAGGCAATGTTTTAATGGCTTTTTAACTCCATAAGAGGTGTCTGTGTTTCTGGGTGTGTACATACAAGCATGTGCGTATGTGCATGAGATTGGAGTGTGCGCTTGTGCATGCACGTGTGGTTTTTTTGTGTGTCAGACACACACACACACACTCACAGACACCCACCATCACCACACACAGACATGTGAATGCGGCTTGTGTCTGGTCTGGCCTCTCTACCTAGCTCTGCTGCCGAGGCTCACGCTGTGCTCTCCCCCCATCCCCTAATATCCTGGAGGCATTTTTCTCATTATCAAATATTGTTTGATGTCTTTGTTTCTTGATGATTAACCATGGTCACCAAACACTGGTCTGGATTGTTTAAAATTTAATTTTGGGGCTCTGAAGTACCTGCAGAGGGGCTGACTGGTGGGGACACCCGTATTTTATGTATGCTATTTTTCACGCTGAAATGCAAGAGGACACACATTGAAAAACACAATAAATCCTGGAGGAGAATCATTAGTGGAATACTAGTGGTTTTTATGACCATTGTTATTCAATGCTGTATTGAGATGCAGTAAATTATTCTGTTTATTATGGGTTTATAGATTCAGTCCCATTTTCAGAATAATTATGTTGTTCCTCATTCTGCGTAAATAGAACTAC